CCAAAAGACACAGCAATCCCCACGTTGCCATCCAAAGTGGCAAAGGCAGGTGGGAGTTGGGCTGAGTTGTACCTTGCGTCTTGTTGAGCTTTGACCATGCTCTGCTCTCGAGCCTTACAATCCAGGGGAAAGCAAAATAGAAAGCATTCCTAGCTCCCAAACAGTCCGCCTCGCGCTTTCCGCCGGCACCACGAGGGTTAGTTCCTTTCAAACTCCTGCCCTACACCACAGCTCACCACCCGTGCTCCCCCACAGAACCTGGACTCCAAGTTATACCTTCGGGCACACGTCCACTCATGAGCCTCAGGTGAGCTGGCGCAGCGCGGCGCCGGCCGGCTGCCGACCTTACGCGCCCGAGGCCCAGTCAAGACCCCCCACTAAAGCTTCTCAGTGTGGCTTTCCGCCTGCTCTTTTCGCGAACCACACCACGAGCCGCGTCTCGGTTCCACTCCTTGATACAACAGTTCCCTCCCATCCCACCGAGACCTCATGGACATCGGGCTTTAATCTTCCACCTGGCAGCCCTGAAGCCCCAGTGTTTCTCTGAATGCATGCTTCCCACTCCTCTACAGCCCGTAGTCAACAGGTCGACCCGGGCATGTGTGGGTCAACCTGCAGTGGACAGGTGGGCCCATGGGGTGGCGGGTCCCGCCCTGCAGTGATGCTGTGTCACCTACAGTCGGCAGACAGGGCTGGGCAGCCACGGGGGGGATGTTGGCACCTGGCAGTGGATGGTGCTGCCTTGCCGCGTACGTGGGCGATGGGTGCTGCCTTCCATAGTGTGCGTCTGCCTTTTCCGATGAGTGGCTGTGCTGCCTCCGTAGTGGATGGGTGCGCCTTCCATTATGGGTGGTGGGTGCTCCTCCGCAGTGGGTGGTGTGCCTGCCTTCCGAATGATGGTGATCGCTGCCTTCCAATAAGTGGGTGTGTCTGCCTTCCTAGTGGTGGTGTCTGCCTTCCTGCAGTGTGGTGTGCTGCCTTCCATAAGGGTGTGACAGCCCTTCCGCAGGTGGTGGTGCTGCACTCACGCAGTGGGTGGTCTGCCGCTCCATTAGGGGTGGTGTGCTGCCTTCCCTACTCCGTCGTCCGTGTCTGCCTTTCCGTAGTGCCGCCTCCTGCTGCGGCCGTTCCCGTAGTGCGCTGGTGTCTGCCGTAGTGCCGCGGTGGTGTCGCTCTGCAGTGCCCCGTGTGCTGCCCTTCTGCATGGATGGCTTCGCTGCCCTTCTCGCCTGGCCGGTGCTGCTCCATTCTGGCAAGCAGGACAGGCTTAACGGCCCTTCGCTCTGGGAAGACCCAAGCAATTGAGAACTTCCCCTGGACTTCGCTCTCCACCTTTAAGCTTCCACTTTAACAAAAGGTTCCTCCGCCCGAGCCAACTGCTCAACCCTGTCTCCCAGCCACTGGTTGACAGCCCGAATGGGTGGACACACGTCAGGGAACGAGACCATCTCTGCGCAACGACGTTGAACCAGCGAGCGCCAGCTCTCCTAGCTAAAAAAAAATGCAAACAAAAACTACAGCTGGCGAGTGCCGGCGCCTGTTCCTCAGCTACGCTGGAGACGCTGAGGAAGGAAGAATGGTGTAAGCTCGGGAGGGAGCTTGCAGTGAGCTGAGATCCGGCCACTGCACTCCACTGGGGCGACAAGAGCCAGAATCTGTCCAAAGAAAAAAAAAAAAAAAAAAAGAAGAATGTTCTTCTTCACTCTGACTCTGGGCCGAGTGCTTGTCTAAGTGCTTGTCTGGGACAGGGAGACAACACACCTTCCCTGGAGCCTTCCACTGGGCCTTGACATCTCCCATCACTGGACTCTGAGCTAACTTTGTGGGGCCAGCTCTTTGTCGGGTGTGTGCACGGCTGCAGGTGAGGAGACCTGTGAGAGTCGGAAGCCAGCTGCCACCCCAAATGATAAGCACATTGTGACTGTGTCCGTACAGCTTCATTGCATGAGGAAAGTGGCTTCTGTCAACGCAGGGTTGCTGGTCTTCACCTCGGAATGTGGCAGTGCACAGATCCACCACTGCCCTGTGCTCACGGGTCACAGAGAAAAGAAATGCTTTCTCTATTCCTTTTCTCAGTCAGTATTTTGTGATTATAGAAAAACTGTGCATACTTGCAAGTAGGGAAGGAAGGCGGGAGGGAGGAAGAAAAACAGAAAGAAAATAAACTGAAAGAAAAAGAAAGAAGAAACCACCTTAGTTTTAGTTTGCTTAGAATTATTAAAGTGACTCAGGAAAAAAACTTCAATCTGAAAATAGTGGCCAACACGAGATGGGACGCCGATTGCTGTATGAGTAAGAGGAAGCGCTGCAGACCACCGCCGACGAAATTCTGGATTTTTTGAGGAAGGATTTCCTGAAGCGGGTGTTGAATATGGGCATGAAGCCATGAGGCTGAATCTAGATGTGTGTTTCACGTTTCTCACAAGAGCTGATGTTGGTTTTTGATTGCAAACGATGCCCATTGCCGAAAAACAAAAACATGTGTGTCATGAGGAGCCTCGGAAACCTCCCCAACCCCTCCACACAGAAGTGATTGTGAGTGCCGCTCCAGGCCTTGCCCTATGGGATCTATAGGACCCGTAGAACTATAGCTGCCTGTACAGTCCTGTGGGTACAATCTCTTAATGTAGGTGAGTGTGTGGTCTTTATAACATAGAAGTACATGCGAGCCTCATGGGCTGCTTTTATTGACAATTCATGATAATAATAGCACACAGTGTGTGTGGGGCATGGGATGGGGGCTGGGTACTTACTGACTATCCTGCGAGGTGGTGTGATTTCTATCCCCATTTGGCCAATGAGGGCCTGTAGCACAGAGAGGTTACCAGCCCTCCCAAGGCCAACAGAGTTGATGGAGGGCCAGCTCCTGCACCATGCCAACCTGACGCACTGTGTGGTCAAAGCCCTTCCCACGGGACTCATCATTTTCACGACCCCATATTATCATATCAATGTGCCATAATTTATTTAGATCTTTCCCTTTGTTGTTTCAGTTTTTCCCTCTTACAAAGCACATTGCAATGAACAGCTCATAGCCAAATTTTTGTGTACCTCATTATTTCCTTATGCCCTCCCCAACTCCTCACTCTACAGTGACTCCACTGGGCAAAAGCTTGCACTCTTTAAGAATTTGGAAAATGTGTTGACGAATTACTTCCCAGAGAGGGGGGTGTCAACCCCCCTGAAGCAGATGGAGAGGCCCGCCCACGCCTTTGCTAACCATGGGAACACTGTTCCTAAAGGAAAAAGCTTTGCCAGTTTGGTAACTGCTGTGATTTGAATGATGATGGCTCTTCCAAAATTCAGGTTGAAACTTAATCTCCAAAGCAACAATATTAAAAGGTGTGGTTTTGGGAGGCCCCACCCTCATGGCTGGGATCAGTGCCCTCACAGAAGGACTGGAGGTTGAAGGGAGCGTGCAACTGAGCACCTAGCAAGAAGGCCCTCGCCAGACACCAGTGCCTCCACCTTGGACTTCCCAGCCTCCAGAACACTAGGAAATTGCTTCTGGTTCTTTATAAATTACCCAGGCTCAGATATTTTGTTAGAGCAGTAGGAACAGACTAAGAGAGTAGATAAGGACTGTCTTTTCTACTCTAACATTCTGGCCATCTTTGAGAATAGGCTCTGTGTGGCCTGCCCAAGGACAGGCATGGTTTCAATCCTTTCTCAAAGAATCTGCTGGCAATGTGACCTGTAAGGCAGTAAGTTTATGCAATTAACATTTTGACCTGATTTCTTCATTAACAGTCTGAGCTTGGCTGGGCTGTAAAGCTGAGCAAAGGTTCAAGACAGAGCTTGGGCTTCTGGTCTTTCCCTTACAGGTGTGTATTTAACACCAGGGCTCTGCCAGGCTTCTAGAAAGAGCCTAGGGTGAGAAGGAAGCTCAAGGAGCTTGTACTCCCAGAAGAGCTGCATCACAGAAGTAGAGATGGGGGCTGCACATGGGCCATGAGTACCGACGGATTGCAGTAGCCCCACTGAGGCCCCTTCAGGTGATAAAGACAAGGTACAACCAAAGCCTCTGGGGGCTGGTCCCGGTGGTGGAGCTTTGGTGTCATTGGGGATCATGGCAGGGACAGGTCCTGGGGGCTGGTGTGGGCTCTCTGCCCTCACACTTGGGAAGGAGCAGAGCAGGCCCTGAGACACCACCACAGCCTCCTCCTTCCAAAAAGAGGAAGAGACCGCGATGTTCCAGCTCTGCCCGCGTGACTCAGCCAGGGCTGCGGCCGACTGCGTGACCACCAGGAAGAGGCTGTTTACATCTTCAGGAATCCCACATCTGGCCAGGCTCAGCTCAGGGTGGAGGGTCCCCTGAGCACTGGTAATGACTGGAAGCCTGCAGTCCCAAGCTAGGTGGCCTGGCCCTGAGCTCCTGAGATTTGGACATCAGAAGACCGAGTCGCTCAAACAGGTTCCTGCACATCTGTGAGTCTCCGTTTTCTTCTCTGTGAAATGGGGACAATAAAACCACTTACTTTATTGAGTCACTGCAAGCCGGAAGAGGGTGATGTGTGTAAAGAGATTAACTCAGTATCTAGTACCTCTAAAGTGCTTAACAAATGACCCTATCACGGTGATTTCAACTGGCTTATTTCTTCATAAAATGAACGCGGAATCCATCCATGGGCTCGTTCTCGGAATGCAATCAGGTCCCCAGCAAACTAAAAACCCTTCAACAGCAGCAGCGCCTCCCTCCACACCACGTTCCTCCTCCTTGATTTCTAGACCCAAATGCGGATTGAGGTGGGCAATGGGGTCGCACTTATCCTCACTCCTCGTCATCACCAGAGAGGTGGTGACGTTCCGGGGACCCCCACAGACAGGCTTGGTCTGGCTCTGCTTGCCAGGAATTCCCTCAGTCGTTTTGCGTTTCTTTTATTTTGAGTCATTCTTTCCCGTCAGTGGGGCTTAGTGTTTGCTGGATGAGAGCAAGTTCCGTCGGCAGGCGGCATCCGGTTCTACAGGGTCCTCTGCGGACACTCGGGTGCCCGGGAACCAGCAGTTCCACGTTGCATTTTCCTGGAAGTCTGAGCAGAGCACCCGGGTCAGGCGAGTTCCCAGAAGCTCCTTGCCTTCTCTTGCCTGCGTAAGGAAGGCTGGGGAGGGCAGCTCCTGATCCTGAGGAGAAGCCACTGGGATCTCCTGCAGCTGCTCAAGACCTCCGCACTGTGGCTGCGCTTGCCCATCTGGAAAGCCTCGGGCGTGCAGGAGCTTGGCTGGGCTCCACATTTGGACACAGAACCTGCTCCATCTGAGCTCATGGCTCTCATCAACCCAGGCTCGGGGAGCTTCTCAATGGGGTGGAGTTTTGGGTTTCACCCACTTGGCTGATTCTTCCTGCCCCGTGTAATTGAATCAATCCTTTACGTAAATGCTGTTTCGTAACTGTCTGGGCTTTTCAGGGCCTCTGGGCCCTGGTCGAAAACATAACTCAGCTCCTTCCTCCCTGGGAGGCTCTGCGTGGCAGGCCTGGCTGGTGGGAGGGCTTGGTGCTAGAGGTGTCCATCGGGTAAGGACCTGGAACTCCTGCGGTGAACATGGTGGCCATGTCCCTGCAGACCCCAGCCTGCTGAGCTCTCCAAGTAACCCTTGTTCACTTGAGCTGCAACACGCAATCGTGCCCCCAGGAGGCCACTTGATGCAGAGCAATAGCCAGGTCCTCGATGGTCCAGCTGCAGAGACCTCACCAATCCCAATCTCCCTGGTTCCTGTGTCGGCCTCAGCCTGCTCTGGGCCACAGCTACACAGCACGTACCTCCTCATCAACACCACGCATCACGCTCTGCCCCCAGTCCCTCCATGCATGAAAGGGGACCGCTCTTCAGGTTTCTCTGGGCTGTA